CAAGCCCATTGCTGACAAGTATACATATAATGTGTATATATATATATTCATTGGGACCCTGGAATCACTGCGTCTCTTTTCTACTTTCTGCAATAGAGTGTAGTGATGTGTGTGGCGTCACCAAGTCACTTCGCACCAGGCCATTTTAAACGAGCTGCATCGACAAACCCAAGTCGCACGCCTTCAGAAGCTGACGCTGCAGCTGCTCCTTCACGCACCAAAAAGCAACGGCAAAGCTGATACCTTTACTTAGGCCTATATGTATGGAAAAGAACTGCTTGTCGATGTTAGAATAGGTATATAATAGTAGGCTGATTACGGCTCGACTATGTAGTCCTTGCTGCTGTAGCTGGGCAACTGGAGCATGTTGCCACAGGTCATTGCTCGCGGCAACAATTCATCCTTAGACCCAATCAAGTTGGAGCGGTGTCGTGAGATCTGTGACGTGCTAGCATCTCTAATCCTTGCAATCCCTTGGAGTGGCATATGTTTGCACTCATGTTGCTTGTTATATGTTCATTGTTGTCGAGAGTCTCCCCCATCCATAGGCTCCACATAGAAAGTGAAGCTTTTGGGCTCAGAAGGCCAACGATCACTGCCTGCACCAGCACTGGCAAGCACCATATTGACCAGGATACTGAAACAAATTGAAACAATATAAGGATACTGAAACAAAAGGATGTACAAAGGCCTCAAGGTCACACAATATCATAAGGTCCAAGGGCGTGTAAGGGTCCACTCAGTCCAGTCTCAGACTTGCACACAGCGATGTCGTCCTTGCGCGGTTTTCCACTTAGGCCTGTGGTAAACTTCAGGACTTTGGGCCGGGAAGCTCTCCATTCTTCCGCCCAAAGGACTTCAAAAAAACCACGCAGCTTGCTGCTTTCGGGCCTTGACAATAGGACGAATGACAGCAAACGCCGCACGGCGAAACAATGACATGTCTGAAATGTTGCTGATTTGTCCCCATTGGCAAAAATATCCGTGTGCAGCGGAGAGACTGGACAAATGGTAGATCGCCTTAGAAAAGAGCAAATGGAAGCTAATAAACTCTGAGTACTGACTTCCATTTAGCTCAGCCAGTAGACTCTTGCCACAGTCTCAAATTGTCATCACTAATCTCTGCCAGGCCGGACCACTCCTTTGAAAGATATTGAAAGTGCAAAAATCCAAGTGTGCAATACTTTCTTGCATTCTAAAAATACAGCCTCCAGCCTCCTCTGCTAAAAAAGCTTCAAAAAGTACGTTTTCAGTGTTCAGCGGTTTTTCGCTCGCGTGTCCTGTTGCAGCTCGCCAGCCGAAAGCAGCACCAAGTATGCAGCACCAGCGGCTTCGCACACTCCAAGCCGAAACGACTTTGCCGCCTCCTCAATACTTTGAACAAGCTCGCTTCGAAGCACTGCTTTTAGCCAGGCCAGTTTGGTAGCATCTGTCACAACAGTTTCACTTCCACCTGGCTTCAACTCTACGGTTCTTCCATCCGGCAGGGTGTGGCTGAAAGTGAGCTGTCCTTCAAGGCCTAATTCGTGCAGACTCGAAGTGATGAAAGCTGCAGAACCTCTGAAGTCTGGAGCACTTTCACTTTGTTCTGCATTCAGCTCAGTCTGCAAATCTTCCAAAGATTCTGGCACATCAGCTTGCACACATCTGAGAAATGGCCGTGACAAGCTCGCTCCCACTAGAAGTTTCTGTTGCTGCTGTGTTTCCTCGTCACCAGTCACTGCAGCTAGCAGCTCTTGAATGGTTGCATTCTCACGAACTCGCTGTTCTTGGGCTGCATTTTCTGCTTGGCAAAGGGCGAGGCCATAAATGCGGCCGCAGCTGTGAAAAATGGTTGAAGGGGCGGGCACAGGAGTCAGTGAGCCTACTGGAGTCGTCCTCCAAATTCCATCTTTTTCTGTGCATGAGCGCCCAAAGTCATTGAAGAACTCACGTCTCGGACCACCAGCATCTTCAGCCGCTTCACCCACAAACGTCACTTGGAGTGGTTTGCGCAACTCTTCAATGGATGCTCCTTGGATCTGAGACAGTGCGGAATTAAAGAGGTCCGCTCGCTCAACTTGCAGGGGAAACTGCAATGTAGTTTCTCCGTCATCACTTTTTTGAGGAATCGCGAGAGGCGTACATAGCACACAATGCTCCAGTCTGGCGGCCAGAGTGTCCACACCTGGTGGCCACAGGACTGAAAAGCACCTGCGCGCCATACACATTTCAGTCTCGTCCATAAGCATGGCTCTTGATTTCAAAAGTGCCTTCGCTGAGTCCAATAAGAAATCAAAATTCTCTGAAAGAGTCTTTTTGCACGATAAAACGGAGGCCAAGGATTCGAAGCTGGCCCGTAAAGCCCGCAAATCAGCAACCATCTCCTCCCATGTATCTTCGAGTTTAAAGGCCTTCAGGCCAAGTTCTGAAATGGTCATTGATGCAAACTGTGGATACGACTCAGCCAATGGCTTCGGAGGAACCCCAACAAGCAAACGCTGCCTCTTCCTGGGGATTCGTCCTAGAGCATCACTTTGCTCGATACGTGCGGCAAGTTCACTGAAGAGCGTGTTGCACGGAAGTTCAAGCTTCGATTTTAGAGCACCTCTCAAAACCGTGAGTGGAACCAACTCTCCGGGAGGACCACTGGAGGTTCCCTTCAAAACGAAATCAAAATTCCTCAAATCTGCCAGAGCTGGTAGCTCCAAGGCCTCACTGTTCCTCACCCAGCCGAGTTGTTCAAAGCCTTCCTCTGCACCAGGCTCAGCCAGCAATGCGTTGATGCGAGCATTGCTCAGTTTGAGTTTTCGAAACTTCGCCTCTTCCGGACTACTTAGCACATTCTGCAAAAGCTTTCGAAAGAGCTCAAATGCCTCTGGAGGCCAAGCTTTGGCGTCCAAGATCAGCTTCTCCAACGAACCACCCATCACCACATCCTCACTAGTCGTTGCATCAGCCATTGCAAAGACTGATGTCTTCAAGAACTGACAGATGCTGTCAGTATCATAGATATGTTTGGAATACACTTGTCTATAGAATTGCCTGTTAATATTGCCTATAGAAGTCCTATGCAGAATACGGTTCTCGCTCGCTATGTCTCCTAAAGGTTTGACGACTTGTGGGGTGGGAAAATCACTAGAATAGCCAAGTAAGCATAAGAGTCTAATAGAAGAATGTTGATCAGCATGTCGAATCAATGGGGCTGGAACTGCTGGCTCTAGGGAAAGTACCGTGCATGTGTCCTTGTTTGTTCTCTAAATCTACACCTAAGCCTTCAAGAATGCTGCAGTTTCTGGCACGCAGGCCTTGAGCATGAGCAGCTGCACAAAGCCAGCAAGCTGTGCAAGCCACAAGGTACAAGAATCCAGGAGCCGCTGGTATCATCTTGTGATAATCTTGTGTGCGTCAAGTATGAAAAGGTTGAAGGTCCAATGACCGCGAGAACCATGTTGACTGTCAGGGTGATCCTGGAGGGTATTGGAAAATGCTCTCCATCCTCTGGATCCTGCAATCTAGCAATCCTATCAGGAAACGAAAAAAGTGATGACAACCTTGCAGAAATGAACGCTCCGCTTTTTTGCCCTCGCAAAGTGCTCTGTGGAGAGGCCAACAGTGGCACACTCCACAGCTCGCATACTGCTTTGCTTTGCACAACATCCTCCTGAAACAGCCAGCGTTCTGTCGCTGCATGTGACATAACGAGCTGTAAGCATTGCCACCAGGTTGACATGAGAGGGAATATGGATGAACATGAAATGACTCAAACATCTTGCTTCCAAGGAGAAAGAAAGAAGATCGAGATCTAGAGAGGAAAAATCAAAACAGAAACGACTCTGATGTCTCATATTGTTTCATGTCGTCTCACCTTACATCTGGCTTAAAAGGACATCTGGAAGTGCACCCTCGATGACATCCACCCGCGCAAAAAGGGGAAGCCTCAAGCCATGTGACACCAAAAATGTTTTACGTAAAAGATCGTAAAAGATCATTGAATATGAATCGAGGAATGACAACTTCAAAATCATCCATTCATTCACATAATTAGCCTTGAAACAAGGATGCATTGGAGTAATTATGCCTCTGGTCGCTTCGTCTTGTCGGTAGAACAGGCGACTCTCCCAGGACCACGTGCCACCTGGGCCACAAACTGCAGGACCTACGGTGACCTACCGGCAAATTCAGCATCTGCCAAATCAGGTTGCATGAGCGTGAATCTTGCGGATCAAGGCACAGGTGCTCAAAGAGTGCAGAAACTGCGATACGGGGCCGTGGGTCATATTTCACATCCTGCTGCAGGTCAAACATCCAAGGCTACTTTCCTGCAGCAAGATGATGCACAAGGAGTCGAAGAGCGATTTCTCCTGTGCACAGGCTAGCGGAACTTCACCCAACCTGCCATGGGAGAAGGACTTGCGACGGGGAAGAATGACAGGTGCTTTGGTATTCGGACATTCGGATGTGTATATATATATATATGTCCCATAAAGACTCATAAAGACTGAGATTTAAAAGAAAAAGAAAAAGCATGTCGGCATCGCAGGATGGAACGAATTCGGTGATAAAGAGCCCGAGGCCGGGCTTGAATCCGATCCCGACGAACCATGAACCTTGCACAAGGAGAAATCCAAAAAAAGCACGTGAAAAGTAAAGAAACCTACACCATGACCATGTGCCAAAGTATAAATATTGCAGCACATGGCTATGCCACTGCCCTGACCCCGTGATGTCAACAGTATCGTGTGAGATGGACATGGGGAGCAGGCTGGCTGCAACAATAGGAGCCAAATGCCTCAGAAGCTCTAAACAAAAGAACGTTAGCACGTTTTCCTTGACCATATACAAGCATCGCATAGAAAAAGAAAGGGAAGGAAAGCTCCGGCCAGTCTCTCAATTCTTGCCTCTGGTACTTGCGCTGGACTTTCCATCAACCGCGTGTACAAGTCCCTGGCCAACTTGGCAGCATGATAAATTGTGGCAAAAAAATCTGCAAATTTAAACACTGGCCTCAAACAGAAGCTAGATCCTGAAAGGAACCGGCGAGAGTTCATGTGAAGGAAAGGAACGTCGTAGAGGCCTTCCTGCTGAAAAGAGTGCATTGCAAGCTGTTGCAGAATTTAAATATATATTTATTACAAAAGTTTGTTATATTACATACAACATCTTGACTTCCATAACAGCTATGTCAGCTATGTGAACGGTGCCTGGACCGCAGAGACCGTGTCTTCCACCAATCTTTGGGATGCATGTTCAAATGGCGATCCTTGAACAAAGAGCCTGAGTTCAAACAGTTCAAAAGAGCTCCAAATGATTTTAACGAATTGTTTATATGCTGTAGGGGGATGCAATCTCGAAGGCTCATCATGGTTCCAAAACATCGATACACCGGATGTGTCTTTGTTTGTTACTGCTTCATACCAAGTTTGCCAAAGTTCCCGTATTGCCTCATTAATTTGCATGACTTTGAGTCCAAGTCGTAAAGTCTGCCAAGGTCTCATAGTGGCGCTCCATGTGAGTAGCCTGGATCGGATCAACACAGAAACTCCTTCTTTGAGCGGGTTTGGAAACTGAGAAGAGTCTTTGAAACTCCTTCTTTGAAGCACTCTTTGGGCCACCTTTAGGCGTTTTTGCACCGAGGAGCATAGGCTAGAGACTCCATCGCCAAGTTTGGCAGCTCTTCATAGTTTGCCTAAAACACGAAGCGAGCAATCTTCGCCTTTCGCAAGGCCTTCGATCCAAGCAAGGTTGGGTCACAAGCGATACTAAGAGCCCATCGCAGGGCAAAAACTTGTGGCCTTGTAGACCACACTTTGCATAGACCCAGAATCTGAACAAAGCACACTCTCCGTGGGGGAGCATTCGCTTAGGGTAAGTCTACACTGTATAGAACGTTTCCATGTTGACATTTGGAGAGATTTCAGGCATGCATTGAAGGTCTCGTCCAAAAGCAGCCTAGCAGGTGCAAAGCTCTCAAGCCAAGATAGATCCTGGCATAAGCTCCGATGGGTAAGGTTGTCTGGACAAACATTTCCGGATCTTTCACAACTTGGGGAGCGGAAGGACCTGTATGTGCTCGTGGCCGTTTTTTTCGAACTGCAACCTTGCTGCAAACACAGCGCTCCTCATTGCAAACGGCAACAACGATGTCTAGTTTTGCGTCCTCGCACCTGCAAGAATAGCGCTAAAGCATTTAAGTTCCGAGCCAGCAGGCATTTATATATATAACCTATTTCTTACTTCTCTAGTCTCCATGTTTGATATGTCACAACACATTGTTGTAGGTGTAACTACGCCTTCACAAACTGACATGCTTTTTGGTCTTGAAAGAACATGTGTATCAGAGATGAGGATGGCAGCACAGGTATCCTCAAAAGCTCTCCCAGTACTTGAACAGCCTGTGGGAGGGAAGCTTCGTGTTGCGGCAACTGGTATGAGCTTGAAGGAAGCGCTGCATGGCAACCTCAATGTAGAGTCTGTGGAGCCAAAACATGTGGTATTTTTTGTTTTTTTTTATTTTTCATTTTTTTCTTTAGACCTTTAGACCTTTAGAAGCTATTAGTAACAAGTGCATCGCTTCTAGGAACAAGTGCCTTACTAGTAGTAACAAGGATGCTACTAGGAACAAGAAGCTACCAGCTTTCTTTAGACCTTTAGACCTTTTTTCCTGTTCTAGTTTTTCTATTTTTTGACATTTTTGGCAAATCTCTGTGCACCTCAATGCTCCATCCAGGCAGCATAGCCGATGCCTCCACATGTTTGGGTGCAGTGCAGACTGGAAGAAAAAACGGATTGCCATGAATGCAAAGTGTGTCCAATCTGCACAAGGTCCACGAGCAACAGGTGGCATCTGGTAGCTGCTTGGTAGCTGCTGGGGACTGCTAGCAGCTGATAACAGCTGGTAGCGTAGCTGTAGCTGCACAAACACCGAAACAACCAGTCGACCAACCAGCGAGTAGCGCATTACTACTTAGCAACGCGTCACTGAGCGTTACGAGAGCGAGATCATGAAGTCGCCGATGGTTTTGGACGTTGCTCCTGAAAGCGCACTGCCTGCTACTGCCTGCTATTTTCTAGATTGGACAAAGACCATTGGAGGTAGCTCGCACAAGGTGGCCAGGTGGTGGGAGAGTCTGTGATTTTGTTTAAAAACATACAGAGCAATCCACACGTCACTTCTCCAATGCAATTGTGCAGCCATTTGGCCACAAGGGCTTGGAGTTAAACAAGACCACGGTTGAAACCGGTTCACGTCAGCTAGGCCCTTTGATGCCCGCGGTGGTCTGTGACTTGACCATCTTGCTAGTTGAAGAGATCACGAAGTCGCTGATGCGTCACCTTAGGTCTTCGAGGTAACCTGCTCCTGAAAACGCACTGCCTGCTGCTGTCTGTTTTTACAAATTCTCAGAAAGGATTCTTTACAGAAGTCTCCTTGAAAATTGCAGCATTCATTCGTATTCAGTTTATTCAAATCTGATTCTTAGCGCTAACAAGCGCACTTAGCACTTTGCATAGCATCTTTTAGCATTCATTCTTAGCACTTCTACAGCGCTTCATGTTGCTTAGCTATCTACCATGGACTACCATGGGCGACCCCTCATTTGAGGGATTAGACTCCGCACTTGACTACCACGACCAATGCGCTACCCACTACCGCGTTTTGGCAAATGACGTCCGTTCGTAGCGCGCTCTTAACCCCTGAGGACTCGTTCGGGCCTGTTCTTTCTTGTTCATAGTACAGTAGTAGGAATGCTCCTAGTAGCGATAGGAGCCCCTAGTAGCGTCCTTGCTCCCAGTAGCGATGCCAGGAGCCCCTAGTAGCGTCCTTGCTCCTAGTAGCGATGCCAGGAGCCCCTAGTAGTGTCCATGCTCCTAGTAGCGATGCTAGGAGCCCCTAGTAGCGTCCTTGCTCCTAGTAGCGATGCCAGGAGCCCCTAGTAGCGTCCTTGCTCCTAGTAGCGACGCCAGGAGCCCCTAGTAGCGTCCTTGCTCCTAGTAGCGATGCCAGGAGCCCCTAGTAGCGTTCTTGTTCCTAGT